CCACTCGTCGTCCGCGGACCCAGCGGCTGGCGCCGCGTCTGCGGGTGACCCCGCTTCTTTGCTGGATTCTGCGGGTGACCCCGCCTCTTTATGGAATCGGCGGTTCCATTCCTTGAGGCGATGGTCATTGGGAAGCTGTACCCAATTTTCCCTGACAGCGTTGGCAATCTCCTCGGTCATAGGGGCGCGATCGGCTTCAGTGATGCGCTTTCCTCCTCCAGGGACCTCCTTATTAGGATCATGGACGTTGCCAGCGTCATCTCCATGAGACCAATTCCACGGGGGCTCACCGTGATGAGGACTCCTGGAGGGGCGGTCCATTGGACAGCTGCGCATGTGACCTTTGGAGGGCTCGCATTGACATACTTGTTTCCTGTATGTCTTGCGATCGTTGATTATCTCCTGTTTCTTAGCCCTTTTGTCCCAAGCCTCTGGCGTTTTAGTCTTGCCACCCTTGGTGCGTATTATCATGCCAGATTCGTCCCTTTTGGTGCAGTACTCCTTAGAATGCCAGTGGCGGATCACGTCCATCGAGTAGCCGGGGTACCAATTGATGTACCACTCCGGCACGTACTGAGCGGATGCACCTACGGAGTGCCCCGTACTGTACGGGTAGCCCGATGCATCATGTGTAGGGCGTCGTGGAGCTGAACGGCTCCTTCTGCGGGCTGGCCCCGCTGACGCACTGCCACGTTCCATGGGCCTTTGATCGTCGTGCTCTGAGTCTCGGGGAGGCGATGGTCGTCTGTCCCTCTTGGCATGGCGCATGTCCTCCGAGTCCTCTGAGCTGTCCTGGACCGTGAATACGTGCTGATACGGGCTTCGGAAGTACCCGATGTCGTTGAGCTGCTCTATCGTGAGGTCGTTGAGGTCCATCTGGTCGCAGCCCTGCATGAATACATCCATAGACCAAGCGGGTGGCCCCGCTGCTGCGGCTGGCGTCTCTTCGGCGGGTGACCCCGCTAGAGCCTGGAGTGCTGTCAGCATCTGAGGTGCCGACATGTCCGAATCCAGGTATGGACGCAGCCGTGCAGCCCCTGGGCGCGACAGCAGGTCGTTCATGGTTATCTGCTGATGTGCTGGCGCACTCAGGAGTCGGATTGCTTCTGAGACCTGCTCTTGGAGCATGTCCTTATAATCTTCTTCGGCTTCTTCGGAGTCGGAATGCGCGGGATGGCCCCGCATTTCGTCATCGGCGTCTCCCGCCTCCGAACCAGCCCACGAGGGATTTGGCAGCAACGGCATGCCAATCACTTGCGGGGCCAGCACGGCGGTGAGTTCTTCCTCTGTTGCCGGGGCGGTCTCGGCTTCGGAGACCTCGTCGCCGGCGGGTGGCCCCGCTGGAAGACCGAACCAAGCATTGTACGCGACCTCGTCGACCTCGTCCCAGCCGTGGAACTCGTCGAAGAGGGTCTCTGCGTAGTCTTCCAGGGCTACAGTTGCTTCAGCGTAGCGGGCCATCACGTAATACGTGGAGGAGCCCGCAGCGGGAGCCGCTTCTGGATTGACGTAAACTCGTAGTCAATGTAATCTATGTCATCCATAAAAGAATTTTGAGCCAAATGTACGGATCCCTTTCCTTTCCCCTTCGGGCATTGATCGCGCAAATGCACTGTGCTACCGCATGTATGACACTTCATAGTATTGCCAGAAGCGTCCCTAGGGTTGCCCCTCCGCCCTTTTCCCTTACCGGAGGTCCGCCTGTGACCCCGACCTTTGCCTCCGATAAGAACTTCTTCAAAAGCCATATCAGTTAAGGACGTGAGGAAAGCAATAATACCCCTACCATGCATACGGCGTCTGCGACCCCCTTTGCCACGACCCTTTCCAAATCGTTTGAAATGTCGGCGTGCTGCACGTCTCACCTTTCTGACTGGTTTCTTCATAAAGCGCCTCCAACGGCGTTTTGATTTGCGATAAGCCATAAAGGCGGCTTCCGCTCTTTGTTGTTCAGAGAGGTGAGTGTCATCCGCTGGGTAGTCATTACCAGCAGAGACTATGCCATTGTGCTCATCGTCAGATGAGGTATCCGTGTCAGTGCCAGATTCAAACGGTGATGGTGGCTGAGACCCTTGAGCGGATGACTCCGCTTGGCCCCAGAGGGTTGTGCCCGAGGGCGGGCTTGCAGTGTAGGCGGCGCCTGGCGAGTAGTTCGACCAGGCGTTCGCCTCAGCTGCCTCTGCCGATGCCTGGCCAGTCTGCCCTAAAAAGGCAGTGGCCTCGTTGGGCATATCGGCTGGGTCAGCCCAGGGATTTGGCTCGCCAGGACCAGCGGGTGACCCCGCAGTCGTGGCATAGACACCTGCATGTGAGTGGTGCCCTGTGAAGATACCCGCTATGTTGCCAGGAGAGCGCTCGGCAACATGTCCGAAGTTCCTCATCCTGGTCAGCAGCCTGTCATAGTCTGCTTGTGTTCGGGGCATCTGATGATTGAAGGGCTCAAGCAGGTGTTGGGCTCGTGACGCGCCAACGCCTAACGCTCTGAAGAGAATCAGCTTTAGGATCTGAAAGTTGGGGATGACAAAGCCAACAGAGTTAGCCTCGTCACGGGCCATCTCGAATCGAGCTAATACTGAGTCGATTCGCTCGCCCCTTTCGACGCGGAAGTCGATAAGGGCAGTGCCAGAGTTGAGCTGGCGCGCATCTTCCAGATTTTCAAATTTGGTGCTCAGTAAGTACAGTATATATGTTACTGCATCCGTTGGCTGTCCATTGACAGTTACACCATAATTGATGATCTGGGAGGGGACCTGCATGGCGATACGACGAGCCAGACCTTGAAGGCCTCGTTGTAGTGCTGCAGCTTGTTGTGGTGGTGTCATATTGCCACTCGTTACGTTTAACCATGCATGAACTTCGCGAACGTATTCGCGAAAAGGCGTAGTACCGGCAGGGTCCCATGAAGGGCCAGTAGTACGCGTGTCGTCCATCCCCTGCCGCATGTATCCCACAGCACATCCCATTATTACCCACAGAATGCCGAATATAGTTTTCTTGATCCAATGCATGTGCATTTCGGCTTCGGTGATTGGTTTAGGCTGTGGTTTGTCAGGCTCTGGCGTAGTAGCCGTGAGGCGCCTGACTGGCACGGGATGCAGGTGGCCCCGCTGCGGGTAGCCCCGCAGGGTGACCACTTTCTCGATCGAGTTGCCGATTGGCATCTGGTGGAAGTCGGGAGTGAAGTGGCGCAGTGAAGTAGGAGAGAGCGTCTCGAGTTCGCGGGTTGCCCCGCTAAAAAAAAAAAAAAAGAAAAGCAAGAAAAAAAAAAAGAGACAAAGAAAAAAAAGAAAAAAAAAAACAAAAAAGAAAAAAAAAGAAAAAAAAGAAAATAAAAAAAAAAACTAAGAGAAATAAAAAACTAAAAAAAAAAAAAAAAAAAAAAAGAAAAAATAAGAAAAAAAACAAACGAAAAAAAAGAAAAAAAAAAAAAAAAAGAAACAAACAAAAAAAAAATAAAAAAGAAAAAAAAAAAAAAAAAGCTAGAAAAGAAAAAAAATCCGCCGCGGATGGCTCCGCTCCTCTTAGAGCCGGCGCAACATGGTATTCCACCGTAGTAGTAGACCACCAAGTTGTGCCGTGGATTACTGGAATCAGAGCGAGAGCCAGCCACACGAGAGTGTAGCCAGCTCCGCTACCAAGTCGAAAACAAGCTGGTAAGCTTAGGTATGTGTTACGCTTTAAGCGTTGCCATATCCCAGGCTTTGGCTCATATCGCATGAGCAAGAGTGCAAGACGAAGCAGGGGATCTGGAGTAAAGGATAGGATGGGCATCGTCAATGGAAAAGGTATTTTCCGATCTCTGATGCAAGTCGTGCGCCTCAGTGAGGCGCAGTCATATATTTGGCCGGGCCCGGCTTGAGCCAGGCACGGCAGCGGTGCATGCTCGACCTGGAGCGCCGCCTTTAAAAACCTTCTCCGTTTACAAGTCAAGATGCCCACGAGTTCCCCGAAGGCTTTCCCAACCGATTCGGGGAACACATGGTCCGATAGCTTGGCAGGTCTGGCCTCAACGTTCGGCCACATAGGCGCTTCCAAAAAGGCAGGGGGCGGCGGTGATTCGCCGTAGGCGTCTTCGATCCGCCGCGCTTGTAGCCTGCCGAAGGGGTGCTTGGCGTGCCGGGTTCAAAACACTTAGTAGCCCTTCCAGAACGGTCCCGATTGCCTTCGGCCCGAGTTGCCGGTCACGCAGAAGCCACAGAACCACAGAAAAATCGCATCCAAGATGGCCAAGATGGCCTTCAAGACGGTCCCGACACACCTTCAAGACGTGCAACATGGCTCAAAGATGGCCCAATGGACCGAAGATAGCCTCCAAGACGCTTCTCAGACGACAGAGATGGCCTAAGATTACCCTAAAAGGGTCCAGAAGACTCTCGTTGGGGTCAGGGGTAGCTTCGGCCGTCTTGGCGGCCCTCGGAGTCGGCCGAAGATGCGAAAACCATAGAAAAACAAGCGGCTCTCAGATTTGCTTGGTTATCCCATTGTCGGTCTTAAGGACATCTAGAACGGCACAAGAGAGGCCGGCCCAAGACCACCCAAGGAGACCCCCAGAGGATCCCAAGACGGCCCAAAGACGACCCAAGAGGGCCCCAAGGAGGCCGAAGAGAGCCTCAACACGACCCTTAATGACTTCCAGAGGGCCTCAAGACCAAGACGGTCTTAGACGGCGCCAGACGGCCCAAGTGCGCCCCAAGATGGCCCCATAGAGCCCTGAGATGGCCTAGTAGGGTTCGAGGAGGCCCCAAAGAAACTCTAAATGTTTGAAAAAAGCCAAAGTCCAGACCCAAGACGGCCCCAACGGGCCCCTTCCAAAAGTTCCCCAAGCAGCTCCCCGACGGGAGAACACGCAGTCCACTGACATACCGCACTGAGACCGGATATTCCAGCACACAGGCGCGACGAGAAGACGTGGAGACGTCGGTGACTCGCCAGAAGCGTCTTCGATTGTTATGGAGACATACTTGACTGTGGGCGGAATGATACGACTAATAAGGATGATGATTTAGAGGACTATGTTTTCAAGCGGCTCAGAGCGTCAAGGGCTGCGGCAAAACGCTCAGGCGGCCTTGGCCTTGCTGATCGCGGCCACGATCTCCTTGAACTCGGGCTTCAGCGAGGCGCCGCCGACCAGGAAGCCGTCGATGTCCGGCATCGCCGAGAGCTCCGGGGCGTTCTTGGCGTTCGCGGACCCGCCGTACTGGATGCGGATGCCCTCGGCGACCTCCGGGGATGCCTTCTCGGCGATCAGCTTGCGGATGCCGGCGTGCGTGTCCTGCGCGTCTTGGGGGCTGGCGGTGACGCCGGTGCCGATGGCCCAGACGGGCTCGTAGGCGATCACCACCTTCGCCGGGTCGAGGAGGCCGTAGATCTGCGTGAGCTGCACGTCCATCTCGGCCAGGACGGCGTCGAGGCCCTTCTCCCGGATGGACAGCGGCTCGCCGATGCAGAACACCACCTGCAGGCCTGCGTCGAGCGCGTACTTGAGCTTCGTCGCCAGGGTGGAGTTGTCGTCCATCGGGAAGATGCCGAACTCACCGCGGCGCTCCGAGTGGCCCATCAGCACGCACTTGAGGCCCATGTCCTTCATCTGCTCCACGGCCATCTCGCCCGTGAAGGCGCCGCAGCCCTTGAAGTTGCAGTTCTGGGGGGTGACCATCGCGCCGTTCTTGAACTTGTCGCTGCAGTAGAACACGTGCAGGGGGGAGGGGCACACGTAGACGTCGCAGCCGCTGGTGTCGCAGTCGTTGATGTTCACGATCAGCTCATCCAGCTTGGACACCGAGTCCGGGTTGCACTTCCAGTTGCCACCGACGATCGGCTTACGGGGCATGGGGTGCGGAAAAGGGTGCCACGCCGGAGCGGAGCACAGGGCGCGGGGTCAGAAAACCGTGACGCTCGAGACAGCGTCCTTGATCCAAAACAGCTACAGGCGAACGGCCAGCAGCAGCAGCAGGAGAGGGGGGCGTGCCGAGGGGGGAAGGGCGGAGGGAGAGAGGAGAGGGAGGAGAGGGTGGGGGACAGGGGGACGGGTGGGACCAGTGGGAGCGGCAGAAAAGACAGAGCGGAGGGAAGCGGGGGACGCTTATCACCGCACGCCCCTCTCCCCCCCCCCCTCGACGGCCTCCCCAGGCAGGGTCCGCCCGCTCGCCCGCCTCCTTGCGCTGTCGTGGCCTAACCTGTGTAACCCTCGACGGCCCAGCGCTGGGAAGACGACGAACAACACAGGACACCCTTCAAGGGAACAGATCCTCAACTGGCGAACGTCGGTCCGTCCTCGCGCTGCCCCCCAGGGCATCCTGGCCGCGAGACTGCAGCAGAAGCCCGAACCGTCACCATGGAGGCAGCAGCTCCTACGGCTGGGCTGGAGACCACGCAGGAAAACCCCGACCCAGCACCCTCCCCTCCCCATAACCTCCCAGCCTCAGCCTTGCCACCCCGCCACGGATGGGCGTGACTGCCCCCCCCTCCTCCCTGCAAACCGGCCCCTTCGGCCCGCATCTCGGTGGGAAGCGAGGGATCTCGAACAACACTACCATGTGCCACACGATTGCGGGGCGAGGACAGGAGGGGCGTGCCCCGTTGGGGCCATCCATCTACGCTTGATCCATGCCCCATGCTCACGCCTCCAACCCCACTAGTGGCCAGAACAGAGGGGCACGGGTAAACAGGCCGGCCTCTAGAGGCCGAGGCCAAGATGTTCACCCATGCCCTACCCCCCCTGGGCGCCCAGAGCAGGAGGCAGCAGCAGGTCTCCCGGCTGCCCAGACGAGCTCGGGAGGCGACCGAGCGAGCGCAAGGGGGTCCGTCTTCCCCGCGCCTCGCCGTCTCCCTCAGTAGGAGGGAGGACTCGGGGACGGAGGATCCGGAGGAGAGGGGGAGGGGGCATGGAGGACGAGGAGGGCGAGGAGGACATGGGGCTTCCTTCGACGACCGCGCGCGCCGAGCCCCGCCGACCCCGAAGGGCACAGGGGCGCGCGTGCCGCGCCGAGCGGGGAGCCGGGACGCGGGGGAGAGCTCCTCGGCTCCCCCGCCGTCCGCACCGCAGGCCGAGCTGCGCCCGCGCCCCGAAAACTGGTCGTGGGTGGGGCCTCGAGAAGGCGCGCCCTGCTCCACAGGCGCGCGCCGCTCAGGCGGCCTTGGCCTTGCTGATCGCGGCCACGATCTCCTTGAACTCGGGCTTCAGCGAGGCGCCGCCGACCAGGAAGCCGTCGATGTCCGGCATCGCCGAGAGCTCCGGGGCGTTCTTGGCGTTCGCGGACCCGCCGTACTGGATGCGGATGCCCTCGGCGACCTCCGGGGATGCCTTCTCGGCGATCAGCTTGCGGATGCCGGCGTGCGTGTCCTGCGCGTCCTGGGGGCTGGCGGTGACGCCGGTGCCGATGGCCCAGACGGGCTCGTAGGCGATCACCACCTTCGCCGGGTCGAGGAGGCCGTAGATCTGCGTGAGCTGCACGTCCATCTCGGCCAGGACGGCGTCGAGGCCCTTCTCCCGGATGGACAGCGGCTCGCCGATGCAGAACACCACCTGCAGGCCTGCGTCGAGCGCGTACTTGAGCTTCGTCGCCAGGGTGGAGTTGTCGTCCATCGGGAAGATGCCGAACTCACCGCGGCGCTCCGAGTGGCCCATCAGCACGCACTTGAGGCCCATGTCCTTCATCTGCTCCACGGCCATCTCGCCCGTGAAGGCGCCGCAGCCCTTGAAGTTGCAGTTCTGGGGGGTGACCATCGCGCCGTTCTTGAACTTGTCGCTGCAGTAGAACACGTGCAGGGGGGAGGGGCACACGTAGACGTCGCAGCCGCTGGTGTCGCAATCGTTGATGTTCACGATCAGCTCATCCAGCTTGGACACCGAGTCCGGGTTGCACTTCCAGTTGCCACCGACGATCGGCTTACGGGGCATGGGTTGCGGAAAAGGGTGCCACGCCGGAGCGGAGCACAGGGCGCGGGGTCAGAAAACCGTGACGCTCGAGACAGCGTCCTTGATCCAAAACAGCTACAGGCGAACGGCCAGCAGCGGCAGGAGAGCGGGGCGTGCCGAGGGGGGAAGGGCGGAGGGAGAGAGGAGAGGGAGGAGAGGGTGGGGGACAGGGGGACGGGTGGGACCAGTGGGAGCGGCAGAAAAGACAGAGCGGAGGGAAGCGGGGGACGCTTATCATCGCACGCCCCCCTCCACCCCCCTCGACGGCCTCCCCAGGCAGGGTCCGCCCGCTCGCCCGACCCCCTCCCCACCCCCCTCGACGGCCTTCCTGGCCACATCGGAGTGGCCCAGGGAATGTATCGTTCTGGCGGGCGGGGGGTAAGGGCAGATGCCTCTAGTCCACCTCTCACTCTCGGCGAATGTCGGCTTGGCGCCACCTTGCGCTGTCGTGGCCTAACCTCTGTAACCCTCGACCAGCGCTGGGAGAACGAAAAACAACACGGCACCCTTTCCTATTGAAGCACGATTGCAGTCTGTCGCGAACGTTCGGTCCGTCCTGATTTGTGCACTGCCCCCCAGGGCATCCTGGCCGCGAGACTGCGGCAGAAGCCCGAAACGTCACCGTGGAGGCAGCAGCTCCTACGGCTGGGCTGGAGACCACGCAGGAAAACCCCGACCCGGCACCCTCCCCTCCCCATAACCTCCCAGCCTCAGCCTTGCCACCCCGCCACGCATGGACGTGACTGCCACCCCTTCCTCCCTGCAAACCGGCCCCTTCGGTCCGCATCTCGGTGGGAAGCGAGGGATCTCGAACAACACTACCATGTGCCACACGATTGCGGGGCGAGGACAGGAGGGGCGTGCCCCGTTGGGGCCATCCATCTACGCTTGATCCATGCCCCATGCTCACGCCTCCAACCCCACTAGGGGCCAGAACAGAGGGGCACGGGTAAACAGGCCGGCCTCTAGAGGCCGAGGCCAAGATGTTCACCCATGCCCTACCCCCCCTGGGCGCCCAGAGCAGGAGGCAGCAGCAGGTCTCCCGGCTGCCCAGACGAGCTCGGGAGGCGACCGAGCGAGCGCAAGGGGGTCCGTCTTCCCCGCGCCTCGCCGTCCCCCTCAGGAGGAGGGAGGACTCGGGGACGGAGGATCCGGAGGAGAGGGGGAGGGGGCATGGAGGACGAGGAGGGCGAGGAGGACATGGGGCTTCCTTCGACGACCGCGCGCGCCGAGCCCCGCCGACCCCGAAGGGCACAGGGGCGCGCGTGCCGCGCCGAGCGGGGAGCCGGGACGCGGGGGAGAGCTCGTCAGTTCCCCCGCCGTCCGCACCGCAGGCCAAGCTGCGCCCGCGCCCCGAAAACTGGTCGTGGGTGGGGCCTCGAGAAGGCGCGCCCTGCTCCACAGGCGCGCGCCGCTCAGGCGGCCTTGGCCTTGCTGATCGCGGCCACGATCTCCTTGAACTCGGGCTTCAGCGAGGCGCCGCCGACCAGGAAGCCGTCGATGTCCGGCATCGCCGAGAGCTCCGGGGCGTTCTTGGCGTTCGCGGACCCGCCGTACTGGATGCGGATGCCCTCGGCGACCTCCGGGGATGCCTTCTCGGCGATCAGCTTGCGGATGCCGGCGTGCGTGTCCTGCGCGTCCTGGGGGCTGGCGGTGACGCCGGTGCCGATGGCCCAGACGGGCTCGTAGGCGATCACCACCTTCGCCGGGTCGAGGAGGCCGTAGATCTGCGTGAGCTGCACGTCCATCTCGGCCAGGACGGCGTCGAGGCCCTTCTCCCGGATGGACAGCGGCTCGCCGATGCAGAACACCACCTGCAGGCCTGCGTCGAGCGCGTACTTGAGCTTCGTCGCCAGGGTGGAGTTGTCGTCCATCGGGAAGATGCCGAACTCACCGCGGCGCTCCGAGTGGCCCATCAGCACGCACTTGAGGCCCATGTCCTTCATCTGCTCCACGGCCATCTCGCCCGTGAAGGCGCCGCAGCCCTTGAAGTTGCAGTTCTGGGGGGTGACCATCGCGCCGTTCTTGAACTTGTCGCTGCAGTAGAACACGTGCAGGGGGGAGGGGCACACGTAGACGTCGCAGCCGCTGGTGTCGCAGTCGTTGATGTTCACGATCAGCTCATCCAGCTTGGACACCGAGTCCGGGTTGCACTTCCAGTTGCCACCGACGATCGGCTTACGGGGCATGGGGTGCGGAAAAGGGTGCCACGCCGGGGCGGAGCACAGGGCGCGGGGTCAGAAAACCGTGACGCTCGAGACAGCGTCCTTGATCCAAAACAGCTACAGGCGAATGACCAGCAGCGGCAGGAGAGGGGGGCGTGCCGAGGGGGGAAGGGCGGAGGGAGGGAGGAGAGGGAGGAGAGGGTGGGGGACAGGGGGACGGGTGGGACCAGTGGGAGCGGCAGAGAAGACAGAGCGGAGGAAAGCGGGGGACGCTTATCATCGCACGCCCCCCGTCCCCCCCCCCCTCGACGGCCTCCCCAGGCAGGGTCCGCCCGCTCGCCCGACCCCCTCCCCACCCCCCTCGACGGCCTTCCTGGCCACAGCGTCGGAGTGGCCAGGGAATGTATCGTTCTGGCGGGCGGGGGGTAAGGGCAGATGCCTCTAGTCCACCTCTCACTCTCGGCGAATGTCGGCTTGGCGCCACCTTGCGCTGTCGTGGCCTAACCTGTGTAACCCTCGACGGCCCAGCGCTGGGAAGACGACGAACAACACAGGACACCTTTCAAGAGAACAGATCCTCAACTGGCGAACGTCGGTCCGTCCTCGCGCTGCCCCCCAGGGCATCCTGGCCGCGAGACTGCGGCAGAAGCCCGAACCTTCACCGTGGAGGCAGCAGCTCCTACGGCTGGGCTGGAGACCACGCAGGATAACCCCGACCTGGCACCCTCACCTCCCCATAACCTCCCAGCCTCAGCCTTGCCACCCCGCCACGGATGGGCGTGACTGCCCCCCCCTCCTCCCTGCAAAACGGCCCCTTCGGCCCGCATCTCGGTGGGAAGCGAGGGATCTCGAACAACACTACCATGTGCCACACGATTGCGGGGCGAGGACAGGAGGGGCGTGCCCCGTTGGGGCCATCCATCTACGCTTGATCCATGCCCCATGCTCACGCCTCCAACCCCACTAGGGGCCAGAACAGAGGGGCACGGGTAAACAGGCCGGCCTCTAGAGGCCGAGGCCAAGATGTTCACCCATGCCCTACCCCCCCTGGGCGCCCAGAGCAGGAGGCAGCAGCAGGTCTCCCGGCTGCCCAGACGAGCTCGGGAGGCGACCGAGCGAGCGCAAGGGGGTCCGTCTTCCCCGCGCCTCGCCGTCCCCCTCAGCATGAGGGAGGACTCGGGGACGGAGGATCCGGAGGAGAGGGGGAGGGGGCATGGAGGACGAGGAGGGCGAGGAGGACATGGGGCTTCCTTCGACGACCGCGCGCGCCGAGCCCCGCCGACCCCGAAGGGCACAGGGGCGCGCGTGCCGCGCCGAGCGGGGAGCCGGGACGCGGGGGAGAGCTCCTCGGCTCCCCCGCCGTCCGCACCGCAGGCCGAGCTGCGCCCGCGCCCCGAAAACTGGTCGTGGGTGGGGCCTCGAGAAGGCGCGCCCTGCTCCACAGGCGCGCGCCGCTCAGGCGGCCTTGGCCTTGCTGATCGCGGCCACGATCTCCTTGAACTCGGGCTTCAGCGAGGCGCCGCCGACCAGGAAGCCGTCGATGTCCGGCATCGCCGAGAGCTCCGGGGCGTTCTTGGCGTTCGCGGACCCACCCACGTCCGACCTCGGATGCGAAGCCCTCTCGGCGAACCTCACGCGGGGATGCTTCTCGCTATCACTTGCGGATGCCCGCGTGCGCGCCCTGCCGCGTTCCTGGGGGCTTGGCGGCGAACGGCCGAGGTCCCGCAGGCCCAGACGGGCTCGTAGGCGAATCATCCACCTTTCGCCAGAGCGCGGCTCAGAAGAGACGCCGCAGACACCACGTGAGCTGCACGCTCCATATTGCACAACGGACGGCGTCGAGGCACTTCTCCCGCGATTGACACGCTCGCCGATGCAGAAACCACCTGCAGCGGTCCTGCGTGTTAGCGCCGTACATTACGCAGCCCTATCGTGCCAGAGAGTGTAGCCATCGGGAAGATGCCGAACTCACCGCGGCGCTCCGAGTGGCCCATCAGCACGCACTTGAGGCCCATGTCCTTCATCTGCTCCACGGCCATCTCGCCCGTGAAGGCGCCGCAGCCCTTGAAGTTGCAGTTCTGGGGGGTGACCATCGCGCCGTTCTTGTACTTGTCGCTGCAGTAGAACACGTGCAGGGGGGAGGGGCACACGTAGACGTCGCAGCCGCTGGTGTCGCAGTCGTTGATGTTCACGATCAGCTCATCCAGCTTGGACACCGAGTCCGGGTTGCACTTCCAGTTGCCACCGACGATCGGCTTACGGGGCATGGGTTGCGGAAAAGGGTGCCACGCCGGAGCGGAGCACAGGGCGCGGGGTCAGAAAACCGTGACGCTCGAGACAGCGTCCTTGATCCAAAACAGCTACAGGCGAACGGCCAGCAGCGGCAGGAGAGCGGGGCGTGCCGAGGGGGGAAGGGCGGAGGGAGGGAGGAGAGGGAGGAGAGGGTGGGGGACAGGGGGACGGGTGGGACCAGTGGGAGCGGTAGTAAAGACAGAGCGGAGGGAAGTGGGGGACACTGATTATCGCACGCCCCCGGCCTCCAGGCAGGGTCCGCCCGCTCGCCCGACCCCCTCACAGTCTCGACGGGAAAAGTGGGGGAGGAGCGCCAGGGGAAAGACGAGCAAACTTCATTCAAAGTGACGGGGGCAGGACGACCGCAGGAGAAAGGAAAAGCATCACGCGTGTCCCCCCCCCCAAAAAAAAAAAAATCCGTCCCGCACCACCACCCCCACACCCCGTCGCTGCTCGGGGCCTGGTCCCGAGAAGCGACGGGGAGCGGCCGATTGAGGTCCTGGTCCCTTCTTGGTGGCGCCGCGGGCCGCTTCGGCCCACGGGACGGCACGCATCCTGCGCAGAGCCGAGGGCGATGCGGACTTCGCTGACGGAGGCGGGTGCAAGCGACGCGCACGAGG